TGGGAAAGTTACTTTTAAAGTTACTTTTAAGTTACTTTTTATTTGGAAATTCAGTACTATAAATTAAGGTATTTTATTTCATATATCATATTTTAACATTTGCTTCAACTTTATATTATTATTTATAATTGTACTCTCTTAATTTCTAAATAAAAAGTAACTTTAAAAGTAACTTTCCCATCCCTGGTCAATGTATAAACATTTGATTAAAATTTGATTCGTTTTCGAATCAAAAGAATTCCATTCAATTCGATTCAGCGTAAAGGTTTTTAATTCGATTCGATTTGTTTTCGAACATGTTGTTACAGATTCGATTCGATTCGATCTTGCAAATGCTTGATTAGCACACCTCTATCATATGTTATAAAAATTGCTTCGGAACGATAACAGTTGTATCTAATTTGTAAAAATACCTACAATGAGCTTTATAAATAACGTTAAAATTTTATAAGAATTTAATCGTTTCTTACATGTATATTTCTATCGAATTTTTTTATTAGGATATGTTAGTCATATTGGTCCTACTTTATAAAGAATTTCCTCTCTTTAATTATAAACAAAAAACGCAGTAATGAAAATATAAGTCAAATATCGTATTGTAAATTGTAAATACAGAGCTACAATAATATAAATTACGTAAATTAATAACCATATCTTGGTTATACATGGAAAGCAATAACACTTATATACAAAATATTACATTACGACTACAATGTTCTTCATTTTACCTTGCTGACAACAACAGAATGAACAAACTGAACAGTAAAACTAATATAATCAGACAAACAGTCTGCACGATTTATTATAAAATTGTATTGTTATTTATTGAGAGGGTTGAGAGAGAGAATTTACCGTGTAATTAAACAAACAGCGAGTAGATACTAGGCTATATTATATTATCATATTAGATACTAGGCTATAAGGTCCAGTTATCTTATGTAAAGAAATATCATTTTTTAATAATAGAATGTAACGGCCTATTACGGTTGGAGCTGGATCTTCGTTGCTTTAAATAATTCAATCTTGAATTACTAATATATACTATATGTATATGTACTTGCATATATACCATATTGTAGTCTTTTTCAAACTGCGCGCCGAATTTTTTCCGGACTAAATAAACGCAATTAAAACTACTCTAATAATCGCGAATTAAATTGACAAACAATTTTTAATAATTTGATGCTACCATCAAGCATCATATATTATAAAGATGTTAATCTATAAAAACTATTAATAAATTTATTGCGAAAAATATTACCTCGGCCGGGACTTGAACCCGGATCTCTTGTAAACCGTACGAGCGTCCTGAGCCATTAGACTACCGAGGCAAGATATGGTTATCATTTTTTAAATTTTTACTGAATTATGTCTTGTCATTAATTTTCAAGTCACCTTTTTCAATGCGAGTATATTGCAGATGTTTTATCAGAAAAAAAGATTATTAACATTTGATCGATATTTTCCAACAATCGTATTATTCATATGCAATCAAGTATAGAACCTATTCAAATTGTGTGTAGATTGACTGCTGCGTTACGCATTGACGTTTAATGTAAATGCAATGAGCATAAAGTTGACATCAAAATTCCATGATTGTCTGGAATTGAAATATTATCGGCGGTGATAGAACCGATACAGCAACGCGTCAGTAAGTGAATCGAATTTATTGCTATTTGCGGATTGTGCAAAGTACAAATGGTAACGATACGAGCGGTGTTTCTTTTCCGTTTTTGTTCACACGAGTTCGACAAAGCACAATGTGGACAACGTTTTGGTAATCGTTAAATATGTTCGTTTATCATTCGATATATTACGAGCATCACCCGATATCTGATGACAAATATATTTTGATATAGGCTACACATTAAAAGACATCTGTTATTGTCATTTATATGTATAACCAAAGGTGCGTACATATTGTATATGATATATCCAATCAAAGCCAAAAATTTACAAATTATCATTAAAGGGATCCTAAAGTCATCTATATTACCGAATAAACCATATAATTTTTGTATAACAATTAATACTTCTTTCTTTTTTTATAGATTCGAAAATCCTTTTCCATGATTTTAAAGTATATGCATTAATATGTGTCTGTGAAGTGGAGTTTATGCCGAGAACATAAAACAAATTCAAAATTAAAACTTTTACCATTTCTTAGTCCAAAATGACACTTTAAAACTGTCACATGGTCACATCGTCGAGATGCTATTGTCGATTAGTTGATTATTGATAAGTTATCGATAATTTCAAATCTATGTATTTATACGTTTTTTAATTCAACTTCATTTGATTTATCACCAATGCCGAGAAAAATAATTTTAATAGTTAGAAAAAGTTTGTATTCACATTTTTCACACGTGTCAAACGATCCACTCAAATTTTTGTGTTAATTTAACGCAAAATGAGTATGTTAAAGAATAACAATTATCCGTACTCATTACACATTTTTATTATAGTGAAAATAAGAATAGTTGTGATATTAGTAAACTAAAAATATCTATTTAAAAAGTTATATAACAATAACTAAACAATATTTATTTTTATTTGAAAAATGGAACAATTTTTATGTAGTTAACTTTAGTAGAACATTTGATTAACCTTATTTGAAAAACTGAAGATTAATTAAATTTTTCTTACAAATTACTCTTAACTTTTATCTTTATTACTCAAAACAGTAAGCATATTCACGTGCTTCGACTGCAACCGAGTTCTTCTATCTGAAAGAATTTGTCCAGCTTTTGAAGAAACTCTTTCACTAGGGACTGATATAGCTAGTATACATAGGTATTGTAATACAATTTGCTCTAGGTTGAGATAATTTCTCATTCCTTCTGTCGTCCACCATGTAAGTGGATTACATTTCCTATGAATTATTTTGGAATGTAAGTACCTACAATCATTTTTTTTTATAATGTAAGGAAGAATGGGGCATAGTGTACACTTAAGAGAAAAATTAAATAAAACTGCCAATTATTTTTATCAATTAATCAAAGTCTTTATTCAAAAGGTACTCCATCAGTTCATTATCTTTAATCTACAGTAATTAACATTCATATATTATCAATATAAATTATGATTTTAAATAAAAAACAAAACCTTTACCGTTAGGGAATTATCTGCCGCAATGAGAGGTAATACCGAACCAATTTCATTTTCTGTTTATAATTATAGTTAATAATATACAAAAGTTAATTATTGTAGTTTAAAGTTGATATCCTTTGAATAAAGACTTCTATAATTGATAAATGATCACCGACTCTGTTTAACATTTCCCTTAGATATTTGCAATCTCCCCTATGTCAAAGTCATCAAAAACATGTAATAATATTATATTTTGGTTCAGTGTAATAATGTTTATATAAAAATAATGATTAATAAAAATTTTTTATAAAATCTTTATTTGTAAATTACAATTTAATTTCCTAAAGATAAGCATTTACTACAAAATAAAAATATTAATCTAAAGAAATACTGAATATTTATTAGATATAAATTTGATATAAAGAAAAGTTTATTGTATAGAGCCTAATTTAGAATTCAAAGTTTTAATATTGATTTTAGTAATTAATATTGATTATTAAATAATGCAACTTTTTAATCTAATATTCTATCTTACTTTAACATTACAAAAAACAATGAAAAAGATTTAATTTATCATTATTAAAGTGATTATTAATTTAATTTTTGATATTACTATTCTGGTTTCAATTATTGGTGAGTTCATCAAGAGTAAATCAAATTAATAATAAGAGAAGAGACAAATTAAATTAAAAAATCCTATATTTAGTCAAAGCGGATCTTAATGCTAAGTATTTCCCTGTGAATTTATGTACGTTTGATTATGTAAACCGCGCGTTGAAAATTTTTTCTTGAAACACAATTATGAGCAGAACCATAGTTGTAATATTATTTATTAAATTGATAAATAATTTAATAATTTTTGATGCTGATGATTCACACGGAAGTATATATTGAAGCATCGTTAGCAACACTTCTAATCGTAACAACATTTGCTTCATATATAAGATGTGTAATCTGTACGAAATTATAATAGTTCTTAGACTAATAGTTTGTACAAGAAACAACGTGCAGTTCTTAGAACTAAACTTAGATGTCTAATTAAAACGTTATTGTTATACAAAAATTTATGTGTATGTGAGATATTGATGTGTCAGTGACACGTAAATCGTCTGTGTGTAAGTTATACTTACATTATAACTAAGAAACTTTGGGATCCCCCTAAATGCGAAAGCAATATTTTTTATTAATAATTTTTAATAAACAAATATATATATATCTATCAAGTTTTCCCGGGGAAAAATATTTTCATATTATTTTATATCTTCAAAAATTTGTCATGTTTTAAATTTATGAAGATTTCTGAAAAAAAAAATGTTTATACTTTTTCAGATTCTATAAGAGTTTTCTATAGAAATTCTCATTTCATGAGAAATCTTATATAATAGAAAATGTAAAATATTTCAAAATTCATATATGAAGATTTTTAGAAAAAATACGTAGAAAAATCTTACTTTTAAAGTGTTCCAATTCGTATAAAAAATCGAACAAATTTTTTAATAGGTTATGAAATTGTATAGAAATTCTAAAAAATTCTGAAATTTCCATAAGAAACATGAATTATTAAAAAATTCTAAAAATATTTCCATCAAGATGGTTTTTCAGTTATCATTATTATTGTTTGTCACACGAATTATAATTTATTAACAATTTATTCTGATCTCAGAAACAGCATCTTTTCTTATAAATAAATAATTTTATTTTTTTTATAATTGATGTATGTAGATAGGTATAAAATGTTATTGTGAATACGGAAAGCTAATCGTATCTACATTATTTATTTAAATTTTGCATGATTCATCGGTTTGTTTAATTACCGTATCTTTCCATACAGATTCCGTAGGTCGAATAAGCGAAACTGCAGGAAAGCAATATCAACCAATAATAGGATCTTCTTATCGATATACTTGCAGGCATAATGTCATCCCAGTGGTTTACGGAAGCGCCAACTACAGTCGGTTCGCACCGCCAAATTCCTACGTGAATGCTTTAGACTTCGAGAGTCCGAAGGAGCTTGCCGCGTACTTGAAATATCTCTCTCAGGATCTACAGCGATATCAAAGCTTCCTACAATGGAAGAAATATTATCGAGTCAAAGGAGGGACAAAGCGGGCTGTTTGCATCCTTTGTGAGATGCTGCATAAGCAGAAAAAGCCAAAACTGTATTCGGATTTATCCGATTGGTATGCCAAAGATAAATGTACTATCCAGACGTTTTTGAAAAATGGCACCGATAAATACGCCACGAAACGTATGATAATGAATCACGAACAGAAGTAAGAGTCGAATTATAAAGCTGAAATATGGAAACGTTAATAATATATTCAAATAAAATGTTTAAAAGGAAAATATCCTAGGACCAACTAAACTTAAACATTAATTGTAAATTGATGTGATTCTGGACATTAAAAAAAATATATAAATATAAGGTATAAATAGTAATCACATTCTTTTTTCGTTACATTAGTTTCAACTTCTGCATTATTGATCAGAATCGTAACATAAGTACTTTTCGAATCCATCTTGTTACTATCAAATTGAATAGGACTTTGCAGAAATGTATCAGTGGTAGATCTGATTTATCTTAGTTTCAGAAACTCTGATTTGAATACATAGTTAAGCTTCTATACGTGATGATAAGATATCCTCATCTATTATCCTATTATGTATATTGACCGTTTCTAAGTCTTTAACAAGGTGAATGACGATGCAGCTTCGACATTTGACTTATACATCACTGATAGGTCATTAGACTGAGGATATGTAGTGTACATCGATATATTCACTACTTGCTTGATTAGTCAAGATCAAAGCGGTTAAGCTTCATCGCTCTAGCACTACTACACTCCGAGAATTCGAGGAAGACAGATATGTGATTTGCTGATTGCTTCACATCCGTAGAGGAAATCAGCTTTTGAAAATTATTATTGAAAATTCTAACGGTAATGTACTAGACTGAATAAATATAAATCATATATTTGTATAAAAGACTGACGTTAATTCTATCAAGAAATTATTTGCCAAGAAAAAATGTTTTCGTAATATTTTTTTTATTCAATATTTTTTTTATATTACTTCTCCATGGTCAATATATATACGTATAAACATAAGTTATATTTATATAAAACCTATTTTTGTCCTTCTTAGTGAAAAGTTAAATGTTGTAGCGAATTAATTAGATAATATAAGACAAGTTTATTTGTGAGCATTAGTTAAACTAAACTCATTTTATTCTTATTCAGTATTAGACAAGTCCATCAAGTGTATGAAATAGCGAAAATATGTGATGGGTCTATTTTTTATTCCTGCACTAGACTGTACTAGAACATAATTCTAACGCAATATAATAATTTTTCTGCTTTAACTAAATATCAAATTAAACATATGTATATACATATACCTTTCATTTTAAGTTCCAAAAATGCACATTATAGTTCAGCTATAAACAATAGACCTAATAAGAAGAGACTATTGTGTTCATAATTTATATTTACAAGTAAAACCAAATATTTGTTAATCTAATCAGTGTAGTCGTTATTACATTTAATCAATAATAATTGTTAATATATTATCACAATTTTGTGTGAATGTGTGTGAGCGTACATGCGCACTTGTAAAGCAAGATTTATCCGTGCACTTTTTTGTGTGTAGCATAGCTTGTATACTTTTTCTTTTAGAGTTTCTTCATATTTTCAGTCAAGTGTTAATTTTATTAAAAATTTTAGTTGTATAATTAAAAATTATATGTGTTAAAAAGATAAGGAAATTGAATCTAATGGATACATAGAAATGCCTTATTACAATTTATGAATGTTTGTAGAAATAAAAATTCATAATTAAAAGAAAAAATAGAAAGCATACAAATTTTAATTTTGTACAACTCCTAGAGTTTATACTCTCGTAAAAGAGCTTTCATTTTACGAAAGTTTTTAAATAAAATATGTATTAAAATTAATTATTTGTAAATGTTTATACATTAGGGACCCACCCTCCTCTCTAATGACATATGTTGTCAAGGTCATGACCCTGAGTGACCTCCAACGGTTTTAGCTCGTTATTCGTTAAAAAGTTATTTAGGAAAAAAAGTTTAAAAAAATAACGCCTTTTTTCGATTGTGTAGAACAAAATTCTCTGCACATTACTTTAAAATAGATTTTCTGCTTTAAAAACAAAAATTTTCTTAGAAAACGTTATTTTTTTCATATAATTTTTAAAGGACATAGTAACATCATTTCATATAATTTTTAAGCAACACGGTTAACCAAGCAATTTTTAAAAGACAATAGTAACATCATTTTCACTAAAGCTGACAAAGGCAACTTAACGGTAGTACTAAACAAAAACATGTATATAAGTAAATTCTTATGACTCTCGAGTTTTCAATCGACGATTCTGACTTTCATAGCGACAACATCTTCGTAATTTAATCCGAATTTTTCTTTTGTTAATAATTTTAAACCAGTGATATTTAAAGCCCTTCTTGCGTTCTTACCTGCAGGTGAGTTATTTAAGTATATTTTTGTTGATTACACCTTTCAATACAAAAATTCAGCTTATTGAATAAGATTCATTCTATCTTAGGATATGTAATTTTACATTACATCTTTGTCTTGGTAACAAATTGATTGGATGAAACTTACATCAGAGCGACTACTCGATCTGTGGCTAAGATTGCAAGGAGATCTTTACGTTTGTATAACGTGCGAAACTTAGATGTATTACGCTGAAGATTGCAAGGAGATCTTTACGTTTGTATAATGTGCGAAACTTATATGTATTACGCTGAAGATGGCCCAAAGTGCGGCCGAAACGTTCGAAATTTGTGAACATTGAATTATTTAAATACATTTATGTAAGAATTTACTATTATTAATTCTTTACTGTTTTTATTGCACACCGATTACCGCGCCTGACTCTCATTTGCCTTATTGACATAGACTATTAAAACCATGTATATTGAAAAAGTTAAAACAATGCTTGATGATGAAGACATGTACATGAAAATTCTCAAGAATCCTACGAGTAAAATTAACAATAACTTGAGGCAATTGTTGGCAGGACGGAAAAAACAAAATTACATTTCGGAATTAACGTACAAACAATTGTAGTGATGGTAACATTCCTAGAGCTTATGCGTTGCCAAAAGTGTATAAACTAAATTGCCCATTTAGAATCATCATATCCTCTCTGGATAGTGCATTACCAGGTATGTAAATATGAAAACGGAATTTACCAATAGATGGCCATAGCTGTCAATGTAGTTGCCGTCAGACTGCGTCATTGACGCCATTTCCTTGTTCTAACATCTGACAAAGATTTTCAACTCACAACAATACAAGTTTCATACAACAGTATAGTTTGTAATAGCGTTGAACATGTCGAATTTTGTGCCTGGAAACTACGATTTGCGGACAGCATTGATTTTCTGTTACCATTTGAAGAAAACTGCTGCAGAATCGCATCGAATGCTTGTCGAAGCTTACGGTGAGCATGCTCTTGGTAAATCACAGTGCTTCGAGTGGTTTAAAAAGTTTAAAAGTGGCAATTTTGACGCGAGAAACGCAGAATGTGGAAGACCACCGAAAAAATTTGAAGACATTGAATTGCAAACATAGTTGGATGAGGATGACGCTCAAACTCAACAACAATTCGCGGAGCAATTGAATGTGACACGAGAAGCCGTCTTCATACGTTTGAAATCCATGGGAAAGATCCAGAAGTTGGGAAAATAGGTTCCACATGAACTGAATGAAAGACAGCAGGAAAACCGAAAAACCACTTGC